TTATGAGTCAATTAAAGCTAGACCACTATAGGAAACGTTTAATTTCATTTTATGTTTCAAAATGATTCAACTGAATTATATTGTAGTGAACGAGAACACTAATAAGAACAACCAAATATGTATTTGAATACAAAACTACAGAACATCTTAGTAAAGTCTGAGAACCATACAGTAAATAATCCATTTGCAAAATATCAATCAATTGTTTCACACTTGATTGTTCCTTCATTTCTATACCAATCATTCTCCATTCAAGTTTTCTTTTCTTCGATCTTTTTAATCTTCCGCCCCCAGGCATTTCACTCTCGATTGATGATACATACTATTTATGTCTGTTGACATTAATAAGACACACCACAATATACATTCTTTGCAACTGATAGTTTCAACCAGTTTATATGACATAATAGATATTTATTTTTATTAACTTCAGAATAACTAAAAGTTAGATAACAATGAATAGTTTAGGTTATTCTGTTAAGAGAAAACTTTGATGGTGTACACCTAAAACATTCTACATAAATAAACTATGAACTTTCACGTTTTATTATGGTCTTGTTATGTTTAAATTAGTGAATCAGAATACAATGGTCTTTATTAGCAAATTCAATCAACTTTTGCAATTATACTATAATCAAGCAGAAAATCAATATAAACTAAATCAATATAGCCGTACAATGATCTAATAACATTGGTAATAACAGTCTAACTTAGAATACGGATGAACTCTATTAATCATAACCTCTTACTAGAATTTTGGCGATCCATTTCAAATATAACTCTTTAACTATGAATTATGTGAAACATTAACAAAATAAGTTTACGACTGAGTGTTTTCAAGAGCGAGTGATTTTAAACAAACAGTTTATTTTAGAAACCTTGACAGATCAATCACAAGACATAAGTAATTTAAAAAATTATCTAAACAGACCGGGTTTTCTGTACATCAACGTCACCGCAATGAACTAAATAAATCAAAGAAAAAGTCAAAATGTTTCCTGGCTGCATAGAGAATTTTCATCTGTTATTTGCTTTAAAGTGTTTTGTTTTGTTATGAAACTATTTATTACGCTAAGCTTTTATAATCAGTACACTTTTAATACTTGAGGTAATATTTAGTTGATTGGTTTTATGATAACTAGGAACAACTTATTATTGATAGTAGTGTGGTGTGTGCTACTGATATCCATAGATATAAGTAGAATGTTTCATCAATCGGAAGTGGAATGCCTTGCATCAGAAAGTTAAGAAGAGCAAAGAAAAGAGAACGAGAACGAAGAATAGTTGCAATGGAAATGAAGGAACAGTGACATTTGCGATGATTGTTTGACATTTGCAAAGAGGACCAGTCAAGTTTGAGACAATTGATTGAAATTTTGTAAATTAAGTGTTTACTGTATGGTTCTCAGATTTTACTAAGGTGTTCTGTAATTTTGTATTCAAATACATTCGATTGTTCCCACTTGTATTCTCGTTCACTACAGTAGCACGACGAATATCTATTAGAAAACATTGTATCACAAATCAGTGTGATTTAATTGAGCATTTGAAATCGATAGTTAATAACAGTAAATATTCTTATGTACAAAATATGAAAAGTATATACTTTATACCTTAAGTTACAATATCAGTAATAATGAATTTCAGTCAATCTATAGTTTAATGAAGAAAAATAGTTTTCATATGGTTTAGTATATATTACTCAAATTGAAATAACTTTAAAATATCTACTATTTGATCCATAATCTTATAAGAGATACATACTACTTATGAGAATTGCTTTTGTTTCAATTTATTGAAAGATGTCACTAGTTTTTTTTAAATATTAAGTACTATCCTCTTTAATAAAGAATGATAAGCCTTAAATTTGACATCGTTTAATTATATATTGTAATCTACTAATAAATGACTTGAAATATTCAATGAAGTATTGAAATGTTTAAAAAAGAACCCATAGAATATGGTCTTGTTTAAATGCAATCAATGAAATACTTTGCTCATTTATTACTTTACATGAAACCTCTCTTCTGAAAATCTCTTTTTTTTAAGTCTTAATCTTGTTTCTTTTATATGGAAACATATCATTATATGATTTTATGTTGTTGTTGTTTTTTTATTTATTATGAATCATATAAACAAGTTACATTGAAATATAATAACGTTTAAGTTGAAAGTGATTTAGGGATCATTCACTGTTTACTTATATATATATGACTATATTCACACCTTTAGTATATAACTAATCCTTCATTAAATGATGGGATTATCAAACTTGTAATCATCATTTCAATCCACTCATTTTAATGATGTACGAGGAATATATATATATATATATATATATATATATATATATATATATATATATATATATATATATATATATATGTCTATTTATAAGTTTATTTTAGAGGAAAAGAGATATGTGTGATAAATTTTAAAGAGGGGAATGAACTAATACTAACTTTTATCAAAGTTACGTAATAAATCAAGAACGAAGATGATATGAATTAATCTATTTCTAAAGTTTTCTCATAATAATTACATAATTTTAAGTTTATTATTATTACTAAGTTCAATTTAACTAGTCTTTTTTAATAACTTAAAATATTCAGTTATCTAACAGGAATAGTGTAGTTCAGTTTGTTCTTTCATTATAGACTTAGTCAACTATACAAGCCACCAAGTTAATTTTGATATGGGGAATTGTTCATTGATAAAGATGGGGTCATGGATGAATCAACCTGTGAATGTCCAAAGCTAAGAGAATAATACCTGACAAGGTAATATTCAACAGTCATGAAACTGGTACACCTATAAGATACATTCTTGCATTGAACAATTCATCATATCACAGGCGAGCTCGGTTTACACATCAGTTCCTTTTAATTGTAAACTTTTATTAAAAATCAGATCTGTTAGTTTTCAACTGGTAACCAACATGATTGATCAATAACAATCTAAAACAAAAAACCAATCGAAATATGTAGTTTGATCGATGACAGATGAGGATTAAATAATTCGTTTAATTAAGCTAAATATTTTTATTGAGATCATGAGTCGATTGATGTTAGACCACCACCAAAAACGTGGAAGTACTGAATGGCCGTTTAGTCACAGTATGGGACTCCTCAGCAGTGCACATGCACGATCCTTCACTCAGGATTCGAACCCAGAACTTTTGTTCTCACGTGTGAACGCTTAACCTTTAGATCACGTTGAAGGCCTGGGTTCGGTTCTCAATCGAGAAGTTGGTTTTTATGGAGGTTAAGCGTTCGCGCACGAGACCGGAGCTCTTGGGTTCGAATCCCGAGTGCAAGATCGTGAATGTGCACTGCTGAGGAATCTCATACTGTGACGAAACGGCTGTCCAGTGCTTACAGCTTTTCAATGGTGGTCCAACATCAATCGATTCATGATCTCAATCAAAAACTTAATATTCTTCACGACCCCATACTGATAAGCTAAATTTATTGGCTCCATTACTTAAACTTTTGTAATTCGTTTATATCAAATAATTAGACATATATTCTAGATCTGAATAATCTGTAAACAGCAATGATATGTATGGATTTTTTAATCTAAAAATTAGTTTATTAATATTACATTTATCTAGCCCGTTAAACTATGATTAAATAATCGTCCTTCACAAAAATTACTGCATATGAATCTCATGATTAAGTTTATTTTCAGAGTTTTATCTTGTACAGCGGTAGATAAAAGATTGGAGTTCTTTATTGCTTTTGAGAAAAACTGTCATTTTCAGGTTTCACTATTCATAACCAGTTTTATAATCTAGATAACTGAGATAAGGCAACAAATAAGCTAATCTGAATCTTAGTAGAAATAAAGGAAACTTTATGTCATCACTTTTGGCATATTCTTGAATCTGTATGCTACTTCGTAAACGGTTTATCGGCGATAGATAATAAACGAATACCAAAATATTTTATGGTCTATATAACGAGCTTACCTTAGCCATAAAACCATAAAAAACCAAGAGGATTTGGACAGCTGTTTTGTTTTAGTATCAAACACAGCAACAGTTAACACTCGCAGCCCCACCTAGGACTGAGCTGGGCACACAGCCATTGTGACCGGCGCCTGACATTTAAACCACTGGTCAACCAATGAGTAACATTTATGATATTGATCAATTTGCGACAATCCATTAGAATCTCCCAACGTTGATGTTAAAGGCTTCCTCTCCCCTAACGTAGTTGAATTTCACTGACTATGGTTTCTCATTAGAACTCTGTAAGTTAACCCTTCGAAATTAGTCACTAGTTAGCACATGATGATCAATAGTGTAAGGGGTTTATGGACTACATTAAAATAAATGTGAATTACTGGATGCTGACTCAGTGATTTAAAGGTTAAGCACTAGACAAGATATGAGGTTTTCTTGGGTTCGATCCCTAGTGGGGTTATGAATATTCATCGTTGAGTCCTACACTCGTACGGAACAGTTGTCTAATTCTTCTTGTTCTTCGGCGGTTTTAAGATCAACTTAGTTTGTTTAGCAAATTATAAAACTACCATTTACTTGGACTCCGTAAATTGAAAATACTAAAGCAGGTAGTTTTTCACCATGCCCTAATTTCATCAGTCAAATCATGGAAACCGTGGAACACTAAAACGTACTTTTTTCTAGTTTGAGACTTCGCTTCCTTGCAAACTGACAACTTCTCAAATTACAAGGCCCATGAACACACTGTCTATCTAGAATCTAATGGTCTATATTTTTGACTTCAGTGAACTAATAGAAATGCTGTTCTCATTCATTTTCTTTGAGGCAGAACTACGTTACCCTCGATGTTACTTGCCTGACAGTTCTTCATTATTATTTTTATAAGTTGTATGGCATAGTTTTTGGGTGGAGAACTTGGTAAAAATAAGAAGCATCGACATAATTGTCTTGTCTTAGTTCTGCAAAAATTAATTCAGTAAATGACTTTTCATATGCAGTATTATATTTATTTGCTACCTGAATTTTTTCTTAGAAAGTTTACGATATAAAACCTTATCTTCTCATTTTCTTTCCATTGAAGCAATCAGATATAAAACAGCTTTAGATGGACGAACTGATTTTATTCATGCACCGAGCCCATCCGACATATTTTGTACTGTTCCTGGACGTCTATCATTACTCAGTTCAACTTCAAAATATAAAGTAACTGTTGCGGAAGTTCAAAGACGTCTGTCACCACCAGAATGTTTGAATGCTTCATTGCTTGGTGGTGTTTTACGCCGGTAAGTTTTGCAATTAAATGTCAGTTTGGTTTTTCTTTCAAACATATGTATAGTTTCAGAAAGGATTTTTGTGGATATTAAAGTAATTTCAATAGTTGAGATCATGAGTCAATTGAAGCTAAACTCATGATCTCAACTACTGAAATATTTGTAATTGTTATCATTTTACTGGAAATAATTATGAATTGTAACTGGAATACTAACGAAACAAACTAAAACTTTACTTTTCAATAATAACACACAACTTTATAGAGACTACTGTAAAAGTGAACTCTTTAAATTATGAATGAAAATACTAGTATACTACCTTTTTACAAGAATAAAAACAAAGGAAATGACTTCAAAGATCTGTATCCAATTATATTTAATATCTAAACATTTTAAATAGTAAGCACTTTATGGTCTGTTACTTATTTATTTGTGAACGATTTGGTCGTACAATCTTTTCCATAATCACTTATGGACAGGTGAAAATTTCAAAAACGACTAATTTATTACCTTGAATAAAAATTCTGAGTATCATCTTCAGAGTAATAAATTGACAGTGTTATGGTAGGTCATCTATTGAAAATCAGAACTAACAAATGTTTATTTTCGTTGTTTTACTCAAAAATAATTGACAAAATACAATGAGCCCCACTGATTAACAATTGGAGACCAGAGAGCACTAAATAGCATTCGATCTTCACACATATGACATCGATCACCACCAAGTGACCAATCAATTGTGATTACATCTCAGTCCTACAGGATGTCGGTCGCGGCCCAGATAGTTCAGTGGTAACGTCTCTGACTGTGGAGCTGGGTGACACGGGATTGAATTCGTCAAGGAGCACCAAGTCCCTTAAGATTACAGGTACACCTTGCTGACGAGTGCCAAGTTGCACGAAACACGGGTCCATTGTTTCCTGTTGACTACCTCCAACCACCATCTGAGCACTGAATACAATTATGCCATCCTAGTTTGTAACATATCAACAATGTACACCTATAGTCATTGAAAACCTGAATCAAAAGTATATTGTCCATTATCCTGACATCAACTATTCTTTTTTGCTATTTGATCTAAATGTTCATAGTTTAATGTAAATTTCATTGAGATATATTCATACTCAACAGATGTTCACTTCAAATTCAAAATTTTACACAGCAGGAGATTATATTATTTTGATCATTCGATCTCTTGTATCAATCATATTCTTTTCTTCTTTATTTTTTAAAAAAAATGCGGATTATGCAACTAGTCATTTTATTGTTTTAAGTGGCTCATTAGAGAAAAAAAACTATATATGATCATTGTTTTGAAGTAAATAAAAATTATTCAATGCCTTCAGGGTTTTTCATTTTATATTATCAATCTAATAACACTCTAATTTATTTTTTGTTGTTGTTGTAATAGTCAAACATCTCTAACATAAGCACATAGACACTCGAAAATAAACTACTTAATAAGTAAACTGATTGGTTACTGTGTGTTCATTTTAATAATTTATACTTTGATAAATGTTAATTAGTCAATATAAAATCTCGTAGATATTTGATTAATAAATAAAATTTGTCCTTTGAATAATAAGACAGTAAGGAATAATGTAGTTTGTTATTCATTGAGATCAAGAACCGATTGATGTTAGACCACCATTAAAAACCTAGAAACACTGGATACCCGCTCCGTCCTATTGTAGGACTCCTCAGCATTGCACACCCGGGATCCGAGCCCACGGCCCTCAGTCTCGCGGCCGAACGCTTAACCTACTTGACCACTGAGCATCCAATGGTGTTAATGTCTAACCTCAACCAGTCTATGAAATTGCGTAACCATCTTCCATCGTACTGAGGTAAATACCTGTCTCTACCTGATACGGAATGGCTCCACTGGTTACAGCTTCTCACTAGAACTCCGAGAATTCCCTCACGAAGCTAGTCACTAGTGCGCACATGTTAATTATCAGTATAGGGTTGTAGAGATTATTAGACTAAATAATCTCCACAACCCTATACTGATAATTTGTTACTCATTATGAACATAGCATTTAAAAATGATATCCAAATAAAGCAATTTTGTATAAAATTTGATCCGGTCTTTAGTATGAACATAGAGTTTCTAGATTATTTAGTGTAATAAATAAATCTAACCTCCAAACAGCTTCAAGTCAGTAGTTTTAGCTTGTATGCAAGTTATTAGGCACGATGACTGAAAAGCTTTCAGTGTTATTTGACTTACACAATCAGTTCAAGAAATTATAGTAAGAACTTCTATTGAAATTATATTTTAAACTACTACGATCTTTCATTTGGTTGATCTGATTCAATACCATCTATACATCTAAGACTCATATCAGTTACTTCTATTGTTTGTTATGGATATTTTATTGCTATTATTCAAGTCTCTTTGACCTAGAATGAAGTGTGAATCTATTGATATGATTTATTCCATTAAACTAATTTTATGCAAAATAATATAAAGTACACTTAAATACAATATTTATACTAAAAGTATGTACCATTAGATCGTGGGAAATACGTTTATAAAGAAATTAATAGCTTCAAGTCATAAGCTTTACTGAATGTTCCAAAATGAAATTTAATAATGATCATCATATTTACTTTTTGTGACAAATTTCATCAGAGCAAAATCTAAAAATGGAGGAAGATCATTGCGTGATAAGTTGGACAAAATTGGGTTAAATTTACCAGCTGGACGACGAAAAGCGGCAACAGTTACTCTGTTAACTTCACTTGTTGAAGGTAAGTGCCTTTTTTATTTTTGATTGACTAAATACGATATAAATATAACATTTGCATGCATTTCATGTATGCACCATTAGATTTATAATTAAAACTGTTAATATGCACATAAATGCAGTGAAATTTGGGTTTTGGATAGTATAATGACTGCCAAGTTATTAAATGAATTCTTCTACTGTATTTAATGATTAATTATGATAAAAAGCTGACAAAATCATATAACATTAGTTTATTTAATGAATGATAAATTTCTAATAGGAACTTGAATGTTCCTTCTTTTCCACACCAATCACTCTCTGTTTTCGTTTTCTTCTCTTCGATCTTCTTAACTTTCTGCCTCCAGGTATTTCACTTTCGATCGATGATACATACTACTTATATCTGTCGATATCAGTAGCACACACCACAGTATATGTATAAGTTATTCACTGTAAACTTATATTTTTTCCTGTTATGAAATTGGAGTAAATGTTCCATCTTTCATTAGCTAGTATTCAGCTTCCCATCACTGACTTCTTCTAATCATCCTGATAGTATCTAACAAAACCAAATAGAAACATGTAAATAATCCCACCTACAATTCGATGATTAATCTACTCATTTATTGTCTAACAAAATAATAATCAATGAACCGTAATAAACAAGAAAAAAAGATGGGTATTTCTATTCTTCACCTGGTTCACATATAACACGTGTTTTCTTCCATGTATAAGGGTGTATACCTTAGTTCCATAAAACAAACATGATAAATTCAATAATTATCACGTTAAAATAATTACATTTCAATTTTATATAGAATTGAAATAATTTTAAAATGAGAGAACTGTGAAAATTTCTATATTTATATGTTTTACAACGACATTCTACCATCGGTGAGGGATGATTAAAATTTTAAAAAATAAAGAAAAATCTCTACTTTATCTAATTTGTGATTATTAAAAAGAAAATGAATGAAATAAAAATGAGAATACAACATATGACTGTTTACAGGAAAACATGTTTCTGCACAAAAAGATAATAACGGATAAGAAGAGACAAAAGCAACATCTAACTTGATAGAACATTATGCATTCATCATCAATCATTCTAGGTACAAAAGAAATCAGTATTATACTCCAATTATTTAATTGACTTGAAGTTATGAAAGAATTTTTTTTCGAAGTGTTTGCATAACTTTTGTTTATAAATTATTTTTAATAGAATTTATTAAACGAACTTTAATCACAATTGGATTGATGAGCTGATATTTTTTGATTGAGGTCATAAATCGATTGGTGTTAGACCACCATCGAAAACTTGGAAGCACTAGACGGTTGTTTCGTCCTATTATGGGACTCCTCAGCAGTGTGCATCTAGTCGCGGGATTTGAACCCAGGGCGTATACTGATAATTACCATGTGTGCACTAGTGACTAGCTTCGTGAGGGAATTCTCGGAGTTCTAGTGAGAAGCTGTAACCAGTGGAGCCATTCCGTATCAGGTAGAGACAGGTATTTACCTCAGTACGATGGAAGATGGTTACGCAATTTCATAGACTGGTTGAGGTTAGACATTAACACCATTGGATGCTCAGTGGTCAAGTAGGTTAAGCGTTCGGCCGCGAGACTGAGGGCCGTGGGCTGGAATCCCGGGTGTGCAATGCTGAGGAGTCCTACAATAGGACGGAGCGGGTATCCAGTGTTTCTAGGTTTTTAATGGTGGTCTAACATCAATCGATTCATGATCTCAATCAAAAACTTAATTTCTACAACCCTATACTTGTGATATTTCTTGGTAGATTTCAAGGTATTTCTAAGTAATTAACATACATAAATTGGATTAAGTTTGAAATGTAGATTTTGTTTTATATTTAGACTGTTTAATGGTATATTTACTTGACTTTGTAGACTGGACAGAGGGTGTATAGTTTTTGTCCAGTATATATCGGTTATAGAACTGAACTTCAATTACATTTAATTGAAGTCATAAACAATCTAACGGTATTCATTAAATTTTCAATCTTTGTTCCAAAATAACAAAAAATTCGTTGTATTAAATAAAATTAAATATTAGAAGAGATAAATTAGTTATTGGATTATTTGGGACAGCTCTAGTTGAAGGAACAATTTATTTGTTTGTTAATTATCAACGAATTTGAATTATGTACCTTGTCAGCCAAATGATTTCATGAGTTTGTTTAGTTAGATCATTCAATTGACAGTTCAAAAGAGGATCTAGTGTCAAATATATATACATAGAATTCAACTGTTTTAATAAATTTATTGTTTAAAAATGTTCACTTAGAAAAAGGCGTAATTTCAAGTCCTAAAAAAGTTATTTCAATTAATAATTTCACTGAAATTTTCATAAACCATAGTAATTATCCCAATTATTTCCTTTTACTTAAGTGACCATAATGACTAACAAATAGATAATTTATCATGTCTATGATAATAGTGACAATTATTTTTTCTTTCTTTTTCTCTTCATTCAACTCTGTAATTAAAAAAAAGGTAGAAAAAAATTGCGAGAAAATTTCAGAGTTTCATTGATTTTCTCCGCCATTTAGATCTGTACGTCTGTAGTGTTCAATTCTAAGAGATAATTTGTTTTACCTATCAAATGAATAAGACATGAAATAGACATTTTAAAACTGAATCGTTAGAGCTTATAAGTTCCTGTTGTAGTCTACAATTAATCAGACTATATTGTCAAATCTACATCTTAAACAGATTGCTTTGATATAACCTTTAATCATAGTGCTTTACTATATTTGATATATGGCTAGTAGGGAAATTCAGAAAACACATATCATCCGGTTTACTACCTTATTAGAGTGAATTTTTACATTTTGATTCTATTGAAAAAGGTGATGAATATACTAATGTCTTTTTAATGCTACACTCTTGTATTAGATGGAAAAATTTTAAGTGACTACAAAGTAATATTATCAAATATTTCTACAAACGTATGCAATGTAAATAATTTTTAGTGCCTTTGTCAGTGATGCTTAGTTATGATAAGTTATTTAAACAGTTGACGGGAAATAATTTGCTTGTAGTTTCTAAAATTGTTATCCTTAGTCAACTAATGTACAGATTTAGTTTATCTGATATAAACTTTATGTTTAAGTTAGTACTCTTTACCAGTTTCTTCGTTCATATTAATATTAATGGTTAGGTTTTTGACTTTAAAGTGAAAGTGATTTTACGGACTCTATGAATAGACTATACTTGATCGGTATGTCTATGAACAGATTATTCATAAATATTATTTGACAAGAAGATATAACAATTAGTGCATATCTGAAGCCATATTATTAGATATTAGATACTAAACTACCTACTAATGTGTTTACAGTTACAATTCTATCAATATAGGACTTTTTGGTAAATATTGTTATATTTTCATAGTCTAAATTATGGAACGAAAATCTTGAGCTTATCCCAAGTAGAGTCGTGAAAACTCACTGCTGAACAATATATGAGGATGAAATAATTGTTTACTGCTTCCAAGTTTTCCGTAGACATAGCTAAGGTCAATAAATGGTATAAACTATGGAATTTTCATTTTATTTGAAATGTATTGTTAAACCACATGTCTATTAAATTAATTGAATATTACATACATATTAAAAATCAAGTCATTAAATAGTTTATTTAACCTATTATCCTCATACTTGTAGGAATTATTTTACATAGGTCCTGTAAACCTTTCTCATTTCTATTTGTCTTCCTAACTCGATGTGATAGTTTAAAACTTATGTCGTCTGCGAAATAAATGCAGCCTGTCTACACTAGTACTGAATAAAAATAAAACTATTCCATACTATTTTTTTTATTTCCACATGTCAATCAGATTCGATTTATTTATATGGTATATTTAGAGTTGTTCAACTGGAACTCCTCTCTTGAAGAAATATTGAGCCATGTGACGAATCACTGTACTGTTGTCTTACGCTTACTTTAAGATTTTATAACAATGCAAATACGAACTGACTGGTGATAAAAACTAAGAGACATTTGGTTGGAAGTCACTACTTGAATAATATCATGTTAACTAAAAAATTTAAACTCTAAATTTAATTGTAAATGAAATTACATCTATCATAGAAAGAAGTTCAGAACGAATCTCTTTTTCTTCTTCTTCTTCTTGAGAAATCCACCTGTTGAAAGTAGCATAGATTAATGAAGAATGAAATTTTTTTAGATTTGTGTAATCGTTGCTTGTTTCTTCTCCTTTGTTTATGTACCAATAATAATAATAATAATAATACTTTTCTACGTGAATTGAGCCTAATGGTTTTAATATTCATTTTATAGATTTTTAACAATATGAACTTAAAATCTTATAGTTATACAATGAAAATAATATTTGGGAAATATTATAGACATTTTATGGTTCATTTCATTGATGGTACCGTTGTGAAATGACATTTTCTTCTTCTTACTCTTTTCTTTGCTAAATTTTACTAGAACTATATAAATTAACTAAGGCCTATAGAAGATGTAAAGAGAACATCAGCAGAGAAAAACAAAAGGTTAAATTAAAACTTAATGATTAAGATAATTATTAGGTGTCAACTAATCATCCATTAAATTTCTTTATTTTTCTTTGGGAATATTCATTATTCCTCAAAGTGAAAAAAAGTCATATATATGATTAATTATTCAATTCAATGCTCTGATTCTTTTATGTTTTTCAATTAAATGTTATCTGATATTTTAGTTGATATAAATCTATCGATAAAGTATTCTGAATCTAGGCTTTGTGTGTAGCTGATTTGCTTCAGCATTTAATACTAATTCTATGTGAAGGGCTTTCTCTTGATTACATTTAACTAATTACCATTACTAAATGTTAAGTTCTTTGAACTAGTAGTTACAAGGTAAATATATCATAAAAATTTGATCAAAACGTCGGTTATTATCCAGTAATCAATATTAAAAGGCGAGACCACATTTTAGTTCAATATGATTTTGTTCACTATAAAATGTACTTAATTTTAACGTAACATTTTTT